AATTATCACACTGGGAAAACTGAGCAAACACATATAAACAACCTAATGTTGCACCTTAAACTTCTAGAAAAAGAAGAGCCAGTCAAGCTAAAGCTCATAGAAGGGAGGAAATCGTGAAGATTAAAGCAGAAATTAATGCAATTGAGACTAAGAAAGTAATATAAAGAATTAATGAATCTAAGAGTTGGTTCTTTGAAAGAATAAATAAAATTAAGAAACCTTTAGACAACTTTATTTTAAAAAAAGAAATAAAAGACTCAAGTTCATGCAATGAGGAATGAAAAGTGTGAAATCACATAAGAGCCTATGGAAATTCAGAAGATCATCAATACCTACTTTGAAAATCTTTACTCTCATAGGACAAGAACATCTTTAATCTCATAGGACACAGAACAACTCAACAGATTGCTAGATATGTATGAATTACCAAACCTGAATCAAGAAGATATAAAAATTCTGAATATCAATATCAATCAATAAAATGGAAATGTAATTAAAAACTTCCCAACAAAAAAGCTTAGGGCCTAGTTGACTCACTGCTGAATTCTACAAGAAATTTAGAGATTTAATGCCAATACTCCTCAAACTCTTTAGTGAACTTGAAAGGGAGGCAATCCTCTGTAACCCATTTCTGGAGACAAGTAATACTAGGATATGGAACTAGACAAAGACTCAACCAAAAAAAGAGAAATACAGGCCAATCTCCCTAATCAACATAAATGCAAAAATCCTCAATAAGATACTACCATACAGAATGCAGCAAACCATCAAGTAGATTATGCACCATCACTAAATGGGATTCATCCTCGAGATGCAGGGATGTTTCAACATATGCAAATCTATAAATGTAATACACCATATCAAAAGAGCCAAAGACAAAATACATATGATCATCTCAATAGATGCAGAAAATGGTTTTGATGAAGTCAAAAGCCAATTCATGATAAAAACCCTACAGAAAATTAGAATAGATGACTTTTACATCAACTTGATAAAAGGCATCTATGATACCAGCAGGTAACATCATACTAAATGAATGAATAAAAAAGTTTTCACTCTAAAGTTAGGAACAAGAAAAGGACGTCCACTATCACCACTGTTTTTTAATATATTGCTGGAAACACTAGCCAGCGCATTTAGACAAGAGTGGAAAATAAAAAAAATAAGTATAGGAAAGGAAGAAATTAAAATATCATTATGGCCTCACCAGTGGTGTTGGTAGTTAGAGCTGTAGGGCCGGCTTGCAAGAAGATCACCATGCCTTTGGCCAGAGATTTACTACACCCTTCCTTGGAAGAGGAAAAGAAAAAACATAAAAAGAAACAGCTAGTTCAAAGTCCAAATTCTTATTTTATGCATGTAAAATGTCCAGATTGCTACAAGATTACCACGGTTTTCAACCATGCTCAGTGGTTCTTTGTGTACGTTGATCAACAGTTTTGTGCCAGCCTACAGGAGGAAAGGCCAGACTCACAGAAGGTTGCTCATTTAGAAGAAAGCAACACTAAAGAGCTACACAACTTTCTGAACTTGTTTTTTCACAGAAAGCCTTATCATAAGTTCAGTAATTGTAATGAATCTACCAAGATGTTGTAATTATGTTTGATTTTGTAAGGTGCACAGCTTTGATCTCCTATTTTGATGGCAGTTTTTCAATAAAGTTTTAATTATGGATAAAAAAATATCATTATTCACTGATGACATGATATGCCACATAGAAGACTCCAAAAACTCCACTAAAAAAACTGCAAATTCAGTTGTGCAACTGGATACAAAGTCAACACTCAAAAATTAATAGCATTCCTGTACACAAAAAGCAAACTCACTGAGAGAGAATTTAGGGAAACCACACCCTTCAAGAGTCAATCTAACAAACGAATAAAAGTATCCATGTATTGAAAATTACAGTACACTGAAAACAGAGATCAAAGAAGATATCAGAAAATGGAAAGATATCCCTTGCTCATGGATAAGAATAACCAACATAGTGAAAATTAAGATACTCCCTAAATGTTTATACAGATTTCAGACAATCTCAATTTAAAAATTCAATTTAGGTATTTCACAGAACTAGAGAAAACATTTCTAAAATTCATCTGGAACCAGTGACCTAGAATAGCAAAGGCAACCCTGGGCAGCAAAGGCAAGGCAGGAGACATGGCAATCCCTAACTTGAAATTATACTACAAAGCTACTGTGATAAGATCAGCATGATACTGGCAGAGAAACAGACCTGAAGACCAATGGAACAGTTTATAATATGTAGACACAAATACAAAAACACTCAGCCACATTATCTTTCATAAAGGGGTCAAATATGTTCACTGGAAAAAAGATAGCCTCTTTAATAGATGTTGCTGGAAAAACTGATTCTCTACATGCCAAAGACTAAAACTAGACCTGTGTTTATATCATTCACTAAACTAAAGTAAAAATGGATCAAGGATCTAAATATTAAAACAGAAACTCTGAAACTACTGGAAGAGAAATTAGGTAGAATTCTTGAAGATATAGGTGTAGGTAGAAGGTTCACAAACAAAACCCAGACTGCAAGATAAATATTTCAAAGAATGAACAACTGGGATCTCATCTTCTTAAAAAGCTTTTCAATATCAAAAGAAATCACCAACAAAATGAAAACACAAACCAAATAGTGGGAAAAAATATAAGCAATTGTCCCTTAGACAAAAAGCATTTCTACCAAGGGCATATAAAGAATTAAAAAAAATGAAACCTCTAAAATTCAAAGACTGAATCCAAAAATGAGCATCTGAGATGAATACACATTTCTCAGATGAAGAAATACAAATGGCAAAAAAATATATGAAAACTGTTTTCAGCATTTCTGATCATTTGAGAAATGTAAATTGAAACAATGCTGAGATTCCATCTCACTCCAGAAAGAATGGCTAATGAAGAAATCAATCAATAACTAATACTGGGGTGGTTGTGCAAAAAAAGAACACTTTTTCAAAGTTGGTGGGAGTGTAAACTGGTATAGTCACTGTGGAAATCAATGTGGAAATTCCTCAAAAACTAGGATTAAAGGGCTTATTTTGTTCAGCTATTCCTCTTCTGGTTATCTTCCCAGAAGATTTAAAAACATCATACCATAGTGATATATGTGTATCCATGTTTATAGCAGCAAAATTTGTAATAGCTAAATCTTGGAAGAAACACAATTGCCCATCAACTAAGGAATGGATTCAAAGGACGTGATATTTTTATACAATGGAGTACTACTCAACCATAAAGAAGGATAAACTCAAGACTTTTATAGGTAAATGGATGCAACTTGAGACCATACTCATAAGTGAAATAATTCACACTCACATATGTGAACACTGAATTGTCTCCCTTGTGTAAGAATTTGAAAGGGTAGGTTCTCAAATGTATAATCAATATTGTGAAATGGGGAAAAATATTTTTCCAAAGAAAAAAGGAACTAGGATGGCTGAAAGGGAAAAAGACAGTAGTTAATAGGGGAAAAATGCAAGTCAATTATTATATTAGTGGATCTTAGGTCAATAAAAAGGAAATTTTGTGCTAATACTGTTTTGAGATTTTTTAAGCCCATATGTTGCCCCTAGGGAAACTATTTTAAAGATAATAACCTGTAATGCATTAACTATTGTTTTTACCCTATTATTTTGACATTTTATTTTATCTTTTTTCCATAAGTTCAGAAAATGTATTTATTGTCTGTGACTTTTTTCCTTTCTAGTATGTCACTATCCATAAAGGCAGGGACTTTTGTTCACTACTAAATCTCCAAAGTCTGTAAAAGTCTCAGCCCACATTTGGTACTCAATAAATATATCTTGCATAAGTGAATTTCAGAGCTATCCTAGTTTTTCCTCATCACTAACCTTAGTCATTTCTCAGAGGATTCTCTCTTTTTATTTTTTTTTCTTCTGGTACCAGGAATTGAACTCATGACCTTGCACTTGCCAGGCAGGCGCTGTGCTGCTGAGCTAAATCCCCAGCCCAGGATTCTGTTTTTTAAGGCATGCCAATGTCACTTCAAAAGAAACTGAAGCACAGGGAGTCAGTTACAAGAGGTATCAGAAGAGCCATGAGTAAGAATGAACCTTTCTATGATTTAGAAAGCCTGAGAGTAAGTGAGGAACTTTTGAGCTCCTAAAACATTTTCCTTTGAATGAATCATATCTTACTTATCATTTGTCTCTCTCCATTAGAATGTTAGCTCTTTGAGGGGAGTGATTTGTCGCTGTTCTGTTTACTGTTGTATCCCGATGGATAGGAAAGTACTTGGCACATACAGGGTGCTTGATACTTGCTGAATGAGTAATAAAAATGAGTGTTTCTCAATTCAAAATTAGTGTGGGCCTGAGGATAATCTAGAAAGAAAGTGTATGGAGGCAAAGAAACCAGTGCAGAGATCGTTGTGGTTGTCCCAATAGAAACTATAAAGTGGTGAACCTATGGTTTTTTGACTGTCTACAAGAACTTAAACCTAAGCAACAGTAGCCAATGTATGATTCTACTTTTTGAAGTTAATATCTACCCGTCCTTTTTTTTACAACTAAGCTTCCAACACATTTACAGATATTGCCCTCTTATATTCTACTTCTAGGTCTTTCCTGTTGGGTGGTGTTTTTCTTCCCATGATATCCAGGGAAGCATGTAGGTATATTTTGCACCATTATATTGCTAGCCATAAATACAGATCTAGAAATCTACTGTCAGATGTCACTAATGATGTAGGTGATGATGACTGTTTCAAAAGTCATAGAGCCATTGTGACCTCACTCCTGCTTAAGAAGCAGTTTGATAAACCACAGCAGAGGGCAGCTGAGACATAAGTTCTTACAGGCCACCAAAACCTCCTCCACCTTGCTACCATAAAAAGCAAACTGGATTTTTAGTTTATTACAGTATCAGCTGATTGGACTTTCTCAGCCAACTGCCAGAAGACTTTGAAGACCAACTTAATAGAAAGCACTGCATTCATCTTATAGAGAAAACTTCTGTGAGTCATGCAGCGCATAAGAGACATCAGTGAACAGGTCTGGAAGGACTATATCAACCACTTTCTACCCACTGACATGTGTTGTGATGCAGCAGTCATTACCAATTCTCCTCCCTGGTTATTAGCTTCTTATCCTCGTGGTAACTTGTTCCAGATGACCCAGGAGGAAATTCAGATCTTGCTGGGAAGAGAGGATAGAGAGAAGTTATATCTTCACGGAATTACCCTTGCAGGAACCAAATGCTTATTGATCCGGGACAACCTGTACACTGAAGGCATCAACACCATGGACTTGCGCACTAAAGGCCAGAGTCGAGGCAGCCAGGCAGTGACTGTGGTTCAGATTGAATCTGTATATCTTGTGGTTATGGGAATAAAGGGAACAGAAGGCGGACCTCTCAATCTCAAATCTTTTGAGATGGCAGGTTACATCAGGGAAGCCATTTTTCAACACATGACCCATTTCTAACTAAATAAAAATGAGTTGACGTTCGACTTATAATTTGAATTCAGTGTTATGTATTTCACCTGTTTAATTAACATGTTTTTAAGGAAAAAAGGGTGGTACTAAATCAGGTTTAAAGATGTGTTAGGTATTGGGAAGTTGTGTGGGTTGGAGTGTGAATAGTTCTTTCAGGTATTTGGACTTCTAGGATTTTGGTTTTTTCACATTTTTAATACCTGAACTACTATTGTGGCAAACAATAAACTTTGTCTTTTCTACCAAATGGAATCTCAGACTCTAGCTCACCCTAAACAGCCCTTCTTGTACACACTAGTGACTAAGATACCTGGTTAAATCAAACATTGGGAACACATCTATAAACAAAAGTAGCTTATCAGGAGCCAAGGACTTTCTGGACAAAGGTAGCTTATCAGGAGCCAAGGATCCCACATTCTCCCTTTGCTCCACGCCCTTTTCTCCTCAATAGCTTTTCTGATTCCTCCCGCACCACCTGAGTGAGCCTATCAGGACAGATTATGAATTTTCTACCCAGCCAATGGGAAAGAGGTCAGCTGCCGCCTCCTGTGTTAGAATAAAAGTGTTGGGCCTCCTTTGTTACACATGTGTGCCTGCTACCTCATGCTTGTTTTCTTCCATAGAAGAAAAACTAAAACTGCCTTGTCAAGATTTCTCATTTTGTGTCTGAGTGCATTCTTTTTGGCCCCGACAAATTGAGTCTGGGGTCTTAGTCCCAAAACTGTATCTCTTTTTTCCCTTACTTATTAGAGTATTGGACTGTGAACCAGAAAATATTGTTCTAAACTTTTTTTCCATAGTCTTTCTCTCTTTGAACCTTAGTTTCTTTATGCAGTGAGGAATATATGCTGTCTCTTAGCCTCTCCTAAGCTTTGGAAATTTAGGCATTTGTCAGATCACAAGCATCTTTTAAGGACCATCACAAGTACTACCTCCTCCAAGAACTTTTTTCTCACTTTCTTTGCCCTTGGAACTGACCCTGATTTGAACTTTTAGAGCACCAACTGTCTAGGCCATTTTTTGTCCCATGGTCACTTTCTGTCCAACATTCCTCATATAAATGTTCTATGTTCACTTCTAACTTTCCATTCACGCATTAGTTTTATTTGCAATTTAATTATAATCTGGATAACAATGTCTTTTACTTTTCAATTACCTTCATCAGATCCCAGAATGGAACGCTGCCAGAGACGCTGGTTATAGGCATAAACTCACTGAACAGAAATAGAATTTCCAAATAGATGATTCTCCACAGTGTGGATGACCTGATGTGATTTTGGCAAGATTTTTCTTTCACCTTGTAACTCTCCTTTGTACCAGGGGAAGCACACATGAGCAGGAACTGAGAGGTGAAAAAAAAATCTAACCATTTAATCTTGTTTAAAACTAGAAGTGTTGGGGCTAGCTGGGGTGAGAAAAGGCAGGCATGAGAAAGGCAGTGCTCATTTGATCTGCAGGAGTGGTGATTATAGGAAACTCTCTTTATATTAATTATAAGAACCACCTCTAACATACCCATGCATTCTCTCACTCTCTCACACACACACATGCATACATACTTCATAAGCTGCTAAATGTTAGGGTTTAAATGTAGAAGTATTCAAAATCTCCACAGTAATGCTATTCAATATACTGATAGTGACATAGGTAATTTAACTTTTGTAGTATACACATTGAAAGAGGAAAAAATAGGAAATCAACTTAATTTTAGGGATATATTTTCTTTAATTAATGCATCCAATATATTATTTTAACATGTAGTAAAATATGATTAATACATTATTTTACATGTTTTATGCCAAAGCTTTGAAATCTGACATGTATTTCACATTTGCCACACATCATAATTCAAACAAGCCGGCTGGTCCTGTGGTTCAAGTCTGTGCTTTACTTTCACCACCACGGTTCCCAGCTGAAACTCGCAGAGAGAGCCAGGTATTTCCCATCTACTTCCTAGGGGTAGAGCAGGCGACCCAGGACCCTACCGCCATTACAGACTGAGTCTCTGCCCTCCAGGCACCCACAGCAGACAGGAGGTCCTCACTCAGAAACCTCAGGGACTTCTCTGGCTGAGGGGGGTGTGTGGCCCCTTCCTGCATGCACCCTGCGCCAAGTGAGCGAGTGCTCTAAGAGCTGCTGGTCCTGTGGTTAAAATCCATGCTTTACTCACACCAACACTGTTCCCAGGTGAAATTTGTGGAGAGAGCCAGGTATTTCCCATCTACTTCCTGGGGGCAGAGCAGACGACCCAGGACCCTGCCTCCATTACAGACTGAGTTTCTGCCCTCTGTGCACCCGGAGCAGACAGGAAGTCCTCACTCAGAATCCCCAGAGATTGTTCTACTTGGGAGCAGAGCGTGTGGCCTCTCCCTGCGCTCACCCTGCACCGAGTGAGCAAGTGCTCCAACAGCTGCTGGTCCAGCAGTTCGAGTCCATGCTTTACTTTCACCTGGACCCCATAGAGGGTCACAGGCATGGGCAGTCTGTGATGGCTGCCTGTCCAGCCTGCATCTGGTACCTCTATGTGTTCTGCACTGACTGGACACAGAATCAGGTGGTTCACAAACTGTCGATGCTGCACTTTGTGTCTGGGTTTTGCCTATACCCTGAACTGCCTGGGCACATAGGTCCACTGGACTGGAATTGCCACACTAGTGCAACCCAAGTCTGGGCCGGGCATGTGCCCTAAACTTCAAGGGGATGCTGGATCAGATGGTCTGCCATCAGCTGACGCCAATGCTCACATCTGAGACTGGGGATAACTAGATACAAATCAACAACTATGGGAAAAGCCAAGACTAAGTAATGCTTCTCAAGGGTCACTGAGGGGCAAACCTGACCAACAGGAAAACCAGGGACACTAGTGGCCTTTGCTGTGCAGTTACTGAAGAGGGAAACTGAGCTTTCTGCATCTGGTAGCAAACATTACAAAATGAAAGACTAAAACACAATCCCAGAACTCCACCCCACTCAGAACAAGTCCAGGAGATATTGATATAGGAGAACTTAGTAAACACATGCCTGAAATAGCTGAAATGATTGCAAGGGAAGTAAAGAAACAACTCCATAAGACCATAGAAGAGATGAGATCAGAAATAATCTCTCCGGCAAAAAATGAAATGACAATAATAAAGAAGGAACTGCTCAAAAACTCTGAACAAGAAACAGATAAGAAAATAGAAAAACAAAGGCAATGAACAAAAACATTAAATGAAAAATGCAGAAAGGACTTAGAACACATGAACCAGATTCAAAGAGACTTCCAGGAAAACAAAGCTGCCATTGAAAGTGGCCAAAGTCACTTGAATGAAGCTGAAGACAGAACTTCAGACTTTGAAGACAGCATGGCAGCTAGTGACTGTGAAAGCTAGGATCTTGTAAAATCAACAAGGATGCAGGAAAAGTCAAAT